CTTCTAATCACCTGCTGCCACTCTCCTGCCCCGTGTGTGTCGCCGTGTGGTCAGCCCGTCTGCTCTTCTCACTGTGTGCAGGGGAGGGCTGGGGAGGAGGCATCTAACTTGCTTGCCGGAGAGTGTGGATTAACCGCACCTGCCCACTGCCCCCTGGGACCCCGGGAGATCCTGAGGTCGGCCTGCTCCCTCCCCCGTCCTGGAGACAGCACTGCCAGGACTTGTTTCTGGTTCCTTCTCCACCCCAGTTATATTAGGGGAGTGGGACCCGCATCCCTTCATAACTCTGATTATTAACAGCAGCCGTGCCCCACGAGGGCTGACTGACCTCAGGTCTGGAGGTGGAACCTTTCCAGGCTGTAATCACCAGCCCTCTCTACTTCCTGCCCCGCCCACTTCCTGTCTGCCCTGTACTGCATCATTCACATGGTCCCTCTGCCCTCTCATGCCTGGAAGTGGGGTTGGGGGGAGGGTGGATATAGGGCATCCACCTCTCTGTGCACTGTGTGGTCTCCATTTCTCCAGAGCATCTGTGATTTGATGTGTTTCATTGTTGTGGTTTCCGTGAACTGCATCTGATATTTGGCATTTTCTCTCCAGTGCTTCAGAGTAACAGGGATAGGAGGGGAGGGGAGAGGAACTAGGCCAAAGAAAAGCCCCCCTTGCTCTTAACCCTGAGCAAATGAGGGTCCAGTGGCTGGCAGCCTGATGTCACTTTCTGCCTCGAAAGGAAGTGGTTACTGACATCCTTCTCTGCTCCATCCTTATCCCATAGGAAGTGACATCAGAGGCCCATCACACTCCCAGGATCTGGGGAGAGCTCAGGTTTCCAAACTCCCTGGTTTCTGAAGCCTTTGAGGAGAGGGAATTGTGTTTACAAGACTCAGTCTTCTGTTGCTCAATCCAACTTTCATTTTTCTTTGCTTTCTTAACAATAGATTCCACCGCCTGTAGTTCAGCCAAGTCCAAGGTAAGTGCCATGGCAATTCTGAAAGTTATATCCCTGTACAAGCCAGTCCACTTTACTTTCTGGTCAAGGGAGTTGGGAGAATTGTGATTGGAGCCTTGAAGAAGATTGATAGTCACTGGGTAGGAAGGTGGGAAATACCGAGTGTCCAAGGTAAGCTGAGAAGTCGCTCTCCTTGGCAGTGCTTGTGGAGGTAACTGCTGTAGTAGAGGATCCGGCTTGGGAGTTAGGTGGCCTGGAGGCAGTGTTGCTCAGCAGTTAGAAGCACAGACAGTCCTGGGCCTGAGCCCTGGCTCCACTACTTAGTAGCTTTGGAACATTGGGCAAGTTACTTAACCTCTTTCTGATCCTCAGCTTGCTCATACTATTTATGGGGATAAGATTTATCCCCAAATATGGGGTTAACAACAAATATGTCTGATATAATAATTATTTTTTAAGGTCTTTGCAGAGCCCAAAGCCAACAGAAGGGAGGAAATAATAAAGATAAGAACAGAAATCAATGAAATTGAAAACGATGAAACCCAAGCCAGTTCTTTGAACCAGGTCTCACAGGCAGTGAGTTGCCTGCTCCAGAGCCTGCCCTGTGAGACAGAACCAGTAAGGCCAGGATGCCTGCCCCAGGCAGCCCGAAGGCCAGGAGTGTGTCTTAATCAGCTCAGGCTGCCATAACAAAATACTATAGACTGGGTGGCTTAAAACAACAGAAATTTATTTTCTCACAGTTCTGGAGGCTAGAAGTCCAAGATCAAGATGTTAGCATGGTCAGTTTCTGGTGGAAGCTCTCTTCCTGGCTTGTAGACGGCTGCCTTCTCACTGTGTCCTCATATGGCAAGCAGAAACAGAGCATGCATGCGAGAGAAACAGCAAGCTCTCTGGTGTCTCTTCTTGTAAGGGCACTAATTCCACCATAAGGGCCCCACACTCATGACCTCATCTAAACCTAATTACCTCCCAAAGACCCCAAATACTATCACATTGGGGGTTAGGGCTTCGTCATATGAATTTGATGGGGGAACACTTCTCTCCGTAGTAGTGGAGTCAACTAAATGTTGGCTGGTCAAACTGGGCTCATTTCTCTCTGGATCTCTAAGCACTGGCTGAGTCCCAGTGAGATCAGTGTACCTGACACCAAGCAGGTGCTCATTAGCTCATTATGTGTCAGATGAAAGCACTGGACAGAAAGAAAGAAGGTTGCTCTAGTCTGGTGCAGAGGACCCCTGTAACCTCTCCATAGAGCCTCTGCCTGCACACCTCTGGTGATGGGGAGCTCACTCCCATCACAAGACTGCTGTGGAGGGGGGCAAGTTCATTATAGTGACCTGAATCTAGCTCCTGATCACCTCCACCCCTTGCTCGTGCTAGACCCCTGGTTTCCTGTAGCCTCTCCTGGACTGACCCCTCAACCTTTATGTGAACCTGCTGACCTCTGCGTTCCCTGAAAGTGACCATTCTGACCTCATTGCTTCTGTAACTAACCAGGATGAGAGGGTAATTTTATCAGATGATCCCAGCGGCCTCTCAAGTCTCTCAGAGAGCAGAGGCAGAAAGCGGCGCTGGCCACCATGTGCCTCATGCTGGTCATAGCAGTGCTGCAGGTGGTGCCTTCTGGAGTCGTGCTGTGTGGGCAGACACAGCCCAGGAGCTGCACGCCTGTGAATCCTGAATCGCTGACAGGCTCCGGCTTTCTCAAAACTAACTGATGTGAGAGAGTGCCGTGGCCATGGGAGGCAGCTCTATGTCTCCATCCACTACAAACACACCGCGTTTTCTTGCGCTTTCCTTTATCGTGCTTCACAGATACCGCATTTTTTTTTTTAAACAAATTGAAGGTTGTGGCCACCCTATGTTGAGCAAGTCTCTTGGCACCATTTTTCCAACAGTATTTGCTCACTTCATGTCTGTGTCACGTTTTTGATAATTCTTGCGATATTTCAACCTTTTCATGATAATTATATTCGTTACGGTGATCTGTGATCAGTGAACTTTGATGTTACTATTGCAAAAAATTACAACTCCCTGAAGGCTCAGATAATGGTATTTTTTAGCAATAAACTATTTTTTTTATAAATTTATTTATTTAATTTTATTTTTGGCTGCGTTGGATCTTCGATGCTGCGTGCTGGCTTTTCTCTAGTTGCGGCGAGCAGGGGCTACTCTTCATTGCTGTGCGCGCGGGCTTCTCATTGTGGTGGCTTCTCTTGTTGTGGAGCACGGGCTCTAGGCACGTGGGCTTCAGTAGTTGTGGCTCACGGGCTCTAGAGCGCAGGCTCAGTAGTTGTGGCACACAGGCTTTGTCGCTCCGTGGCATGGGGGAATCCTCCTGGACCAGGGCTTGAACCCGTGTCCCCTGCCTTGGCAGGCAGACTCCCAACCACTGTACCACCAGGGAAACCCAGCAATAAGGTATTTTTAAATTAAAGGATGTACTTTTTTTTTGGCCATAATGCTAGCACACGCTTAACAGACTACAGTGTACACATAACTTTTATATGCTCTGGGAAACAAAAAAATTCATGTGACTCGCTTTACTGCAGTATTTGCCTTATTGCTGTAGTCTGGAACTGAGCCTGCAGTATCTCCGAGGTGTGCCTGTTACACTGCAGCTGAATCAGGAGGTGACCTGCGAGAAGGGAAGCAAGGGCAGGTCATTTCAGCCCAGCTGGGGACCAGTCCCAGCATCCGTTTCTACAGGGCTTTTTATGTTCAGGGGACCCCATTCACCCCATTCACTTAACATTTCTCGAGTGCCTGTTATGTGACAGGCACTGTACTAGGAGTCATGGATGCAAACACAAATAAGCCACTGACCTTGCCCTCAGAGAACTCAGGGTTTGATATAGATGATATGGAAACAAAGCTATTCTGACATGAGAAGAGCTGGTGTATGTGTAGTTTCAAAGGCCTATGAGAAGAGAAGAGGATCAGCCAAAGGGAGAGCTGGGTGGGAGGTTGCTGTATAGAGAATGCCGCGTTTGAGCCGGGCCTCGTAGTGGGAGTAAGAGCTCATCCCATAAATAGGGTGAGGGGTGGGGAGGGACTAAGGGCTGCCAATGCTAGTCCGATCGAGGGAGGGGTCGGGGGGCAGCATCGCCAGAGTGAAGGCTGTGTTAGGGCAGGGGGGGCACTAGGCAGGCTGTGAAGGGCCCTGTGTCTGTGCTTTATCCTGGTGGGGGTGGGGTCCTGCAGAGTCTGGAGGCGATTAGATTCCTGTCTTGCCTTAGAAGGACTAAGGGCTCCTAAGGAGGAAGGGCTGGAGTGAGGCTAGCGTGGAGGCAGGGAGTTCTATTAGGAGAGGGCAGGAGGGCCCAGAAAACGGCAGAGTGAGGGTCTGAACAGAGGATGATGAGGAGGGAAGCGGGAGGAGGCAGAGAAATCGCCCTGAGCTGGGGACATGAATGGAGGTAGTTTGGGGCAGGGGTAGGGAGCATAATGTGGTTCCAGGGAGGTGAGTTTCAGGTGCTGGCAGACACCTTGGTAGAGACAGATTCACAGTTGGAAGAAGTGTTCGGGAGCTCAAGGGACAGTCTGGTGTTGGCCAAGGGAGACCTCCGGAGCAGTATGTCCCCAGGGAGAGAGGAGAGCGGCTGAGAACAGAGCCCTGGGAACACGGCTTCTTAAGAGTAAGAGGAGGAAGAAGAGCCTCCCAAGAGAGGAGAGGCCAGAAAGGGAGGATTAAACACCAGGTCGGAGGAGGCAGTGATGGGCAGCTTGGGCTCTGCTGGGGGATCATGGAAGGCCAGGACCAAAAAACACCCACGGGACTCAGTAGTGAGAGCAGTGGCTGAAAGTTGCCCACCGTGGGGCTGTAAATCACAGTTTGGGAGTGGCTTCAATCCAAATCATCGGATTGTGCAGGATTTTTAAGCCACTTTTGGCAACAGAGCTGGTGGTTGGATTGATCTGGGGTTGGGGATTGTCAGGGTGGGGCGCTGATGGGACGGCGGAAATGGCATGGGGTGCGGTGGGAAGGGAAATGAGCTTGGGCGGGTTGCCCTGGAGAGGCCTGTACCTACTGAGTAGGTGGAAAGTCAGGTTTCCCAGGTGAGTTAGTGGCCGGCGAGGGAGGGAGGGAGGGAGGGAGGGGGGGAGGAGCTGTGGTCCGAGAAAGGTCCCTGCAGGCTCTGGTATTATAACCCAGAATAGTATATGTGAAATGGGTTCAAACTGTCAAGTGTCATTCGCTGTTGCGAGTCTATTATTAGGAGAGCTGTGTCTAAAAGGATTTATGCAGCACTGGATGTAGAGAATGGAGTGAAAGTTGGGGCAAGGTGAGAAACCAGCCCCCAGCTCGCAGGAAAGAGCTGAGAGCCTGGATTAAGACCGGAGGAGGTGCCAAGGAGGCTTCAGGATTGAGGGGGGCACAGAGGGGTAGTCTCTAGAGTGCATAGTGACACTCCAGTTGGGACAGCCGTCCAGGAGGAACAGCGGACGTGAGAGTGCTGGGCTTGGACCTGTCGAGATTGGGTGTTGTGGTGGTGTGGTGTAGGGGTGGGGCGTTGGAGGGCGCTGAGGCTCTCCGGGCGCCCCCAGCACACTGACCTGTCTCCCGCACAGGGATCGTGGGCACCCAAGAAGGAGCCGTACTCCCGGGAGATGCTGGCGATCTCCTTCATCTCGGCGGTCAACCGCAAGAGGAAAAAGCGGCGGGAGGCGCGGGGGCTGGGCAGCAGCACGGACGACGACTCGGAGCAGGAGGCGCACAAGCCCGAGGCGGGGGCGCCGGCGCCGGGGGCCCAGGACCGGCCGGAGGGGCAGCGGCCGGGCGCCGCCGCCCCCGAGGCCCCCGGGCGCCTCAGCCCCCCGGCGGCGCTGGAGGAGCGGCCGGCCGCGGACACGCGCTCCATCGTCTCGGGCTACTCCACCCTGTCCACCATGGACCGCAGCGTGTGCTCGGGCGCCGGGGGCCGGCGAGCGGGCGCGGGGGACGAGGCGGACGACGAGCGCAGCGAGCTGAGCCACGTGGAGACGGACACGGAGGGCGGCGCGGGGCCCGGGGGGCTCCCGGAGCGCCAGCCCTCGTTCAGCTCGCACCACCTGATGCCCGGCGACACCCTGGCGCGGCGCCGCCTGGCCCGGAGCCGAGCGGACGGCGAGGGCGCGGGCGCGGCCGTCGGGCTGCCGGGCTCCGCCTCGTCCAGCAGCCAGGAGTCGCTGCGTCCGCGCCTCGAGGCGCTGCGGCTGCGCCTCCGCGGCACCGCGGACGACATGCTGCCGGTGCGGCTGAGGCGGCCGCTGTCTCCCGAGACGCGGCGGCGCCGGAGCAGCTGGCGCCGCCACACGGTGGTGGTGCAGAGCCCGCTGACCGACCTCAACTTCAACGAGTGGAAGGAGCTGGGCGGAGGGGGCCCCCCGGAGCCCGTGGGCCCGCGGGCGCACAGTGACAACAAGGACTCGGGCCTCAGCAGCCTGGAGTCCACCAAGGCGCGGGTCCCGTCGACCGCCGCCTCGTTGCCGCCCGCGCCCGGGGACCCGGGGGCCCTGCAGAGCCAGCCCCCGCGCCGCTCGGCCGCCTCCCGCCTCCATCAGTGTCTGTGACCGCCCCTCCCTCCACCCCCCCAACCCCGCGCCGAGCGCCCCTTCGACCCACCCCGGAGCCCCTTGGTTTCCCAGGAATCGCCTCTGCTTGCACCTCCGCCCCGCCTTTTTGCCCCTGTGGGAGCATCCGGGTGCAAGTGGGAGGCGCTGAGGCCGTGTCTCTGCTTTGTGCGCTGGAATTGCTAGGGGGCGGGCAGAGAAGACGGGACTGGACGCAGAGTGTGAGTGAGAGGGAGGGGGGCTCCGGGGCTGAGGAGACGGAGAGGGGCTAGGCTGCTGAGGCTCTGTGCAGGGCTCCTGGGGTGGTTCTCTGTCCCTCGGATAAGTGACAGAGTGTGCCCTTCTGGGCCTTTGTGTCTGCACTTAGGGACCCTTGTCGGCCATGGGGTGTGGATAGGGACCCCCCAAGCCTCAGACTAAATAAAAGACACTGGGTGATGCTGGCTCTTCACTCCTTTCCTCTGCCCACCTCCCCGCAATTAGCTCCTAGCTGCCAGCTAAGGGAGGGCGGTTGTTTATGTATGTCTGGGGAGAGGAGGTGCCGGGTGGTGGTGTCCATGGGGGGAGGGGCGTGGTGTGTGCGAATGTGTGTAGTCACTGTCCCAAAGTGTTCCCAGTAGCAACTTCTGCCACTCCTGCCCGCTTCAAACCCAGCTCCCACCGGGGCTCCCTGCCTTCGGTGCACACAGGAATCCTGCCCCCCTGCTGCTTGTCAGCGCCAGAGAAGGGGGTTGGGACTTCTCAACCTTCTCAAGAGGCAGGACTGAGACTTTCACCAGGGTTATTCCCCCACCACCACCTTTTTCCAATCTCTAAATCACACTCCCCAAGCGGTTTGACTACGGGAAGCTGCCTGTTCCCCAGACAAACGTTTGGGGAGGGTCCACGGTCACCCCTGCTAGACCTCTTGCCCATCTATTTGTTCTTCCAGCTGTGCCTGCTCCTTCCATAGCTGAGGCACACAGTCCCGAACCTTCTTCCCTTTAGGAGGGGCCGTAGAAAACATCCCTGGTGTCTGTCTGTCTGTCTGTCTCTCTCTCTCCCCCCACTCAACATACGCGCGCGCGCGCGCGCATGCGGACACACTAATTGATGCGCTCTCAGCAGGGCTGCTCCTTGTGGAAGGGTGGGTGGGACCCAGCCCCCTCTTCTCCCCACAAGTTGTAAATAGACCTCAGATCACAGGCCTCCCCACACACGCCCTCACTCATTCCAGGGAAGCCCAGGTGGGGTTGTGAACCCACTGCCACATCTATCAGTCCTCTTGTTTTATGCAAAGATTTGCTGTAAAGTAGATTTCTCTCTCCTCCCTCCCTCATCCTTTATTGTAAATACTGTCTCTAAATGTGTAACATATTATAAAGAATTTATAAGGATTTTTAAAGATGTTTTGCTCATTTAAAAAAGTGCTGTAACAGTGTTGGATAAGCCTCTGCTCCACGTCCGCATGTCTCCTTTCACTGTGTCCTCGACACACCTCTCTAGGCGACAACTAAGATTTCCTGCTTCTGAAAAGTCCTGTCTGAAAAGTATAGTCTATATCTTGGAAATAAATGGCCTTCCTCGAGGCATGAGTCAGCTGTCTCACTTGTTTGGGAGGGAGGAGAGGGCAAGAACGGGGCTAGGATGGGGGAAGAGGGAGGTACCCGTGGCCCACGGAAGGAGGGCAATGGGGCTGGACCAGGTGGTGGCGGAATGGAGCCAAACCTTTGTTTCCTGGTGGCTTAGAGGTGTCCTGGGAGACTGGCCTGAGCAATGACTTGGGCACAGAAACAAGATGGAAGGGCACTGACCCTCATTGCTGTAGGAGATTTGCATGCACCTGCACAGGCACCTTCCTTCTCAGGTCTGTCTGGAACTTCAGAATGGTCCAGAGGTGCTGCCGAGCAGAGAAGAGGCTTGGGCAAGGCCCAGGCCACTGATGGGGTCCATCCTGGCCAGCCGTCATCATAGGCACTCCAGGTCCAGGCGATATCCCAAGAGGACAGTATGGGTTTTGCCCTTTGTCTTATTCACATGTGTAGGCCTTACAACCTGGGATGGGCTTCCTTCCATGTCATGTCTCTATAGTTGCCCCTGCCAGCTTCCAGGCTGCCTGTGATGAGCCTAGTAGCCACCGGTAGGAAAAACAGATGACAGTTGTCAAAGAGAACCTAGGGAAGAGCCCTGGAGCTGGGAAGAGCTTAGTGGCTCACTGAATACCCTTCCTTCCTCCACCTCTGCCCCATAGCTTGTTTTTGTTTGGAAAATGAGCTAAAGCCAGTGTTATTGTGGGCCCACACCAGCCCCAAGGGCTTTATATGTCCTAAGCTAATCCTCCAACACTCTTTGGGGCTCTGGCCACAACGCTGTTATCTCCATTTTATATATGAGGAAACTAAGGCATGGAGAGGTGACATACTTGTCCAAGGTCATACGGCTAGTAAGTGGTGAAGCCAGGATAAATCTAAGCCCTGAGAAAAGACATAAAGACAGGCTTACTGCCAATTGGGCCACCTTCAAGCTGTAGTAGGTTTTGGATGAGAATATGGATCAAAACCTTGTGTTCTTCTTCAAAAAGAAAGAGAAATGAAGACATCTCCAGTAAAGAAAAGCAGAATTTGTCATTAGCAGACGTGCCCTATAAGAAATACTGAAGGGAGTCCTGAAAGCTGAAGTGAAATACACTAGATCAGGAGTCCCCAGTCCCCGGTACAGGTCCGTGGCCTGTTAGGAACCAGGCTGCACAGCAGGAGGTGAGCGGCAGGCGAGCAAGTGAAGTTTCATCTGCTGCTCAGCATCGCTCGCATGACCACCTGAACCATTGCTCGTGTTAACTGCCTGAACCCTCAACCATTCCCCCCCCCACCCCCCAACCCCGCCCCAGTCCGTGGAAAAATTGTCTTCCATGAAACCGGTCCCTGGTGCCAAAAGTGTTGCGGACCACTGCACTAGATGGTAACTTGAATCCACACAAAGAAATAAAGAACACCAGTAAGGGAAATGCATAGGCATTATAAAAGACAGTATAAACATTTTTATTTGTAAACCTTTTTTTTTTTTTTTTTTTTTTCTTTACGCGGGCCTCTCATTGCTGTGGCCTCTCCCGTTGCGGAGCACAGGCTCCGGACGTGCAGGCTCAGCGGCCGGCTGATGGGCCCAGCCGCTCCGTGGCATGTGGGATCTTCCCGGACCAGGGCATGAACGCATATCCCCTGCATTGGCAGGCGGACTCTCAACCACTTGCGCCACCAGGGAATCCCCTTGAGAGTAAATCTTAAAAGTTTGCTTCACAGGACTTCCCTGGTGGTGCAGAGGATAAGTATCAGCCTGCCAATGCAGGGCACACGGGTTCAATCCGTGGTCTGGGAAGATCCCACAAGCCGCGGAGCAACTAAGCCCGTGCACCACAACTACTGAGGCTGCAAGCCACAACTACTGAAGCCCACGCTCTTAGAGCCTGTGCTCCGCAACAAGAGCAGCCACCACAATGAGAAGCCTGCGCACCGCAACAGAGTAGCCTCTGCTCACCCCAAGTAGAGAAAGACCATGCGCAGCAACGAAGAACCAACACAGCCAAATATAAATAAATAAATTAATTAAAAAAAAAAAAAGTTCGCATCACAAGGAAATTTTTCTGTAACTAGGGATGGTGACAGATGTTAACTAGACATTGTGGTGATCATTTCACAATACATACAAATATTCAATCATTATGTTGTATATCTGAAATTAATATAATGTTGTATGTCAATTGTACCTCAAGAAAAAAACTTTATTGCTCCTACCATTTTATTTCTGTAAGCAATGAACAATTTAAAAATGGAATTAAGGGCTTCCCTGGTGGCACAGTGGTTGAGAGTCCTCCTGCCGATGCAGGGAACACGAGTTCGTACCCCGGTCGGGAAGATCCCACATGCCGCGGAGCGGCTGGGCCCGTGAGCCATGGCCCCTGAGCCTGCACGTCCGGAGCCTGTGCTCCGCAACGGGAGAGGCCATAGCAGTGCAAGGCCTGCGTACCGCAAAAAAATAAGAAAACTAAAACATTGTTGAAAGAAATTTTAAAAGCTCTAAATAGGGCTTCCCTGGTGGCGCAGTGGTTGAGAGTCCGCCTGCCGATGTGGGGGACGCGGGTTCGTGCCCCGGTTCGGGAAGATCCCACATGCCACGGAGCGGCTGGGCCCGTGAGCCATGGCCGCTGAGCCTGCGCGTCCGGAACCTGTGCCCCGCAACGGGAGAGGCTACAGCAGTGAGAGGCCCGCATATCACACACACAAAAAAGATCTAAATAAATGTAAAGATATTCCATGTTTCAGAACACCTTGTGTTGTTAAGATGGTAGATTCAGCACAATCCCCATTAAAATCCCATCTTTTTGTCTTTTTGGCAGAAATTGACAAGCCGATCCTAAAATTCCTATGGAAATGCAAGGGACCCAGAACAGCCAAAACAATCTTGAAAATGAAAACAAAGTTGAAAGTTCCCAATTTCAAAACTTACTACCAATCAAGGCATGTGGTACTGGAATAAGGATAGACATACATATATTTCACAGGAAACACTTCTTTGGAAAACTCCAAATCTTTTTGGGTTGAACTAAGAGGAATAAGGATTTTTCCCTGACGTGGGCATGATGGAGGCCTGAGCTGAAGCACAGTCTGTGGATTTTGAGTGAAATTTCTGGCACTATGGCCAGGGGTATGGGATGGAGCTTCCTGCCAGGTGTCATTATGAGTGCTGTCAATCATTCGGCATCAGGGAGTGTCAAGGGAGCCTGTGTCAGCTAATAGGCACGGTGGCCTCGTGCCCAGGGCCCCAGCACTGGGGATGGTGCTCAGCTACCCTGTGAGCTCCAGGATCGCTTAAGCCACTCAGAGGTCAAAGAGGAAGAACACACCCAGAGGACTCAGAGATATGCAGTGAGGGAGAGAAGATGTGGGTTTCCCAGGTTTCTATTTGTAAAGCAGTCCCTTTTCTCCTACGAATTAGGATCCGGCTCTGAGGCTAACCAGAGGTCACTC